ATCAATATTCCATGCTCAATTTTGTATCTACATAAATAAAAGTAAAATAATAAAAAATAGGGATATTAATAAAAGCAAAATAATACTTTACTTAATTTTTTATTAATTTTTTTGCCGGTTTTTTTCTCCTTTTAGTTGCAGCTATTTAAATTAGGCGCGCATTGTCCCGATAAAAAAGAATCGATTAAAATCGATTTATTTGGCAAAATATCGATTTTATTTTATATCGATTATTTCCAAATCGATGCTTTTTTTTAACATCGCCCACCACTACATAGAAAACGTTCCGTTTCACTCAATGCGCGCATGAACAGCGCTTAGAATTCCCTAGATCCCCACCACCTGCAGCGCATAATACACGCATCAGCTACCTCAAGTTTGAGTTGCAGCAGCTTATGCGTTCCATGCGATTGCGTAATTGGCATATGGCGATTGATAGCGATATTGTAAAAAGTGTCAAAATAGGAAGAGTCATAATGGAAGAGTCATTGATGATTCACTACTATTACTGTCACTCATTTCATCAATTAAAAACATTGTCACATTGATAGCGCAATTTATTGTGGAATCCATTTTGATTTTCCGCTTCTAATGCGTTCAATATCGTTCCGTTTCAAAGCATGTATCATGCGCATAATGAAACGAAACGCAGCCAATGCGCTAAGCATTAGCGATGCGAACGATGCGTGCTATGCGCAAAACGGAACGCAACCACAGATGCGGGCTCATATGCTGCTCAGATTGCAGACATGTCGTGATATCCATAAAAGTGCACAAAAAGATGACATATGAGTACAAGCATGAGGTTCAAGCGAATATTGCAATTTGTATATCATCTGTACTCAGAACATGACGGCAATGTATGCTTGCATTTATTGCGATTTATGAGTTTATTTTGTGACTAAATTATTTTTATATTTATGTTAGAATTAGGTTAGGTTAGGTTAGGTTAGGTTATAATAAAATTATACTTTTTTTTTAATTATTGTACATTATATATCAATATATTTTTTTTATTTTACAAGAAAAATTTTTTTTTACATGTCTTAAGCTTATTTCTACCAATTTTTACCAAATTATTTCTACCAAAAGATCAATTTTAATCTCGATTTAACAGTCTTCATCTATTTCGAAAAAATGATGATATTTCACAATTTATCCCAATTGTTCAGAGGACAGTCTTGCTTTTACAATTGTGATTGTGCAATGAAATAAAACGTACACACACGCTCTCTTCTTTCAAAATTTCCTCGCTCTAACAGGCTTACCCTACTGAAAATAAATGAATTACAAAGAACTGACATTTTAAGATCAATTCTCTTTGATTCATCTATTTTTTGTAGGGTGACATTACGCGATTCCAACTGCAATATACTCGCATATATTATCATTCTTCGAAATAAGTCTAAAAATTAGTAATTCTACAATGTTTTAAATATTTCTAAATTGTTTGCTTTTAAATTTGCTCATGTAATATATTTGTAAATCCATATTTATGAAATTAATAATCAACTATATATATAGTTGATTATTAAAAACATCGATGGAAATTATTGCGGAATTAAACATTAAAATTCTTCCAATCAATTTCGCACAATTGTACACGCTACATTTTAAGAGATATTTATATATATAAGTCTCATTATCTTATTTTTTAGATTAATTACTTTCGGACACATCATCTTCCATTTCTGAAGTGTCAGCAGTGTCTTCATCAGGAACATTTTCATCAAATACTGCTTCAGGAAATATATCTGTATAAGATGTTTCCGTTTCTAAAATAGCTGCTGAAGTTTTAACTTTACTTTTCAGATAGTGCCGTTGTTTTGCAGCACGAAAAACTTCCATCATTTCTAATTTAAATGCGGTCCTTGTTAAGGGCCCTTCAAAATTTGGGCACATTTTAGCTGCATCTAAAACATAATATTTATACATTATTTTGATATTTAAAAGTCTTAAATAATCATATATAATATAATTTATATATATATATATATATACACATATATAAAATTATAATTATATAATAGTGCATATTGTGTTTTTATATGCTTGTTTTTATATATATAAATATATATATTTATATATCGTGTCTTTTAATAATAAAATTGCAATTACCGAAAATACTT